GCGATATCATGCTGTCTGGCAGGCAGGGTAAAGTTACCTCCACTGCACCCCGCGCCAAAGCTGCTTCAGCTGTACGGAGATCCCGGGTTCCACCGTCAAATCCGTGCCTACAACCAAGCTTTTGCTTTTACGTCGATTGGTGCTTCGTGCTCAAACCGATCGTTTCAAAACGTGCATCAAGACGAGAGCGTTGCAGGTACACACGGGGTGTACACATATCGCATTCAAGGGGCTATGGGGCACTACCTAGGGTCCCTCCTTCCCCACATAGACCGTCGGACAGGCGTGCGGGTAGCACCCAAGTTTGCGCAGATCTACATTGTGGATCCAGACATGCAACGCCGCGCGGAGCGACGTCTTGGTATATTCGCGGATCTGGATCGTGTTGCACTACTAGACATCGAGAAAATGATGGCAGAGCACAACCCATTAGCGCAACGGTTCCTTCACTTTGGGCAGCAAGTGCGCCAACACAACACGGAGGCTCCAGTAGACTTTGTGTTCCGTCTGCATGACAACTCCTCGCGACCGAGGACACATAATCGCCCCACTGTGTCTGAAGTGGCTGCGACTCTCATTGAGGATGGCAACCTGGCTCAGCCTCGGGATCTACTACTCTTTACACGCGATCAAAGACTGATACGTTTGTACGAGACTCACGCCGATTACGATCCACTCCAATACCCGCTTCTCCTTCCATATGGAGAGAAGGGGTGGACCTACACAGACGAGTTCGCTAATGGTGCTGAGTATCGAAACAAGAAGGCGATGTCGCTTCGTGAACACGTCGCGTTCCGCCTCCACCAGAAAGTGGATGATCAGTCCGCTCTCCACCAAGGTGGGCGTCTATTTCAGCAGTGGTGTGTAGATCAGCGTGCAAAATGTGAGCAAGAACAGCTTCGCTGGGTGGCCGACGATCAGAAAACACTACGCGCCGATCAATACAGGGGTGTTCAAGACGCTTTGCTCAACGAAGATACTTTGGCTCTGGCGGAAGGAGAAGTACTGCTGTCGGAATATGACCGGGCCCAGAACAGATTGGTGCACCCGGACCGGGACGGAGGCGGCAGAGGACGACCTACCCACTTTCTTAATCAGGTTGGTAAGCGTATCATACTACCGGCTTCGCACCTGGGTAGCACGCGGTCCATGTACAAGTCGTATCAAGATTCGATGGCAATTGTACGCGAGTATGGACGGCCCGACGTCTTCCTCACTGAAACGTGCAACCCTAAGTGGGACGAGATTCTTGAAGCGATACCTTCCGAGACCCAGACAGCTCAAGATCGACCAGACATCGTGGCTCGCGTGTGGCAGCAGAAACTGCAAGCGATGCTTGACGATTTAAACCAAGGCGTTCTGGGGCGAGTGCACGCGCGGATTTACGTTGTCGAGTTTCAGAAACGAGGGCTCCCCCACGCTCACGTACTGATTATTTTGGCTGACGAAGACAAACCTCGAACCCGCGAGATCGTAGACAAGATGGTATGCGCTGAGATCCCAGATAAGGATACAAACCCTCAGCTGTATGAGACGGTCATGTCATGCATGCTCCATGGTCCATGCGGGCCTGTAAACCCTTCCTGCGCGTGTATGAAGGACGGCAAGTGCACCAAAGGATATCCGAAGCCCTTAGCAGAAGTTACACAAGCCAATGCCAATGGATATCCAGTCTACAGACGACGTCGACGGCAACAAGGTGTTCTAAAGTTCAAAGGCAGAGAATACGACAATGCTACGATCAACCAGTGGGTTGTACCGTACAACCCGTACTTATCCCAGAAGTACAACTGCCACATCAATGTGGAAGTGTGCACGGATATTACTGCGGTTAAATACCTGTACAAGTATGTGTACAAAGGACCCGACATGGCTATACTCACTGTGGAAGAGGTCCGAGGAGGGCAGCAGAGTGCGCGTCGAGAACCAAATAAGATTCTACGTTTCTTGAGCGCCCGGTACATTTCTCCGGTGGAAGCTTGCATGCGCCTGCTCGATTTCACAATTCAGGGGAAAACCCATGCGGTGACACAGCTAACGGATCATCTCGAGTCAGGCCAGACAATTTGTTTTCGCGAGACGGAAAACCCGGAGGCGGTTTTGGAACGTGGGAGTCACACGATGCTGACCAGATTCTTTGAGCTGTGTGCGAGTGAAGAGCCTCAGAATCATATTGCCAGGACAATGTTGTATCAGGATATCCCCAAAGAGTTCCGCTGGAAAGCGCCGGAGAAAGGGCAACCGAAAAGGTGGGTTCGCCGGAAACGGTATCAAGCTGCTGTTGGTCGCATGATTCACGTGTCTCCTCGAGATATGGAGCGGTTCTACCTTCGGCTACTGCTCTGTCAGCGTAGAGGTCCAACGTCGTTTGAAGACTTGAGAACGGCTAACGGGATTGTCTGCCCCACATTCCAAATTGCGGCGCGGGAGGCTGGCTACTTGGAGAATGACAACGAGTGGGTTTCGTGTTTGAGGGAAGCGGCTGACTTCTAAATGCCGTATCAACTACGCCAGCTCTTCGTCACCATTCTGGTGTATTCAGCTCCAGCAAATGTTGGTGTTCTATGGGATCGGTTTTTCGCGGATCTTTCCCAAGACTTCGCACGCAAACATCAGGCTTTGATGGACCCCTTTAAGTCGGCGTTGGTCGAATTTGAAACGCTGATGAGCATTCAAGAGCTACTTCAAGCGAGTGGGTATGCGGTAGCTGACTTCGACGAGCTTCCTCAGTTGGGGTCGCTCCCAACATTGATTCGTGAAGCGCTTCGCCAAAACGGATTACTACGACGTGAGCTCACTGGATACGATGCGTCAGCTTTGGAGGCAATTGTAAGCACAGAAGATCAGCTAAACGAAAGTCAGCGGGTGGTTTACGACCAGATTATTGAAGCGGTTGAATGCCCGAAGGAAGGCAAGAAGTTATTTTCTGTCGATGGACCGGGTGGTACTGGAAAATCTACACTGCTTCGAAACATACTGGCCAAAGTCAGACTCTCGGGGAAAATCGCCATCGCTGTGGCGTCTAGCGGTATTGCCTCGCTCTTGCTCGTGGGTGGTAGGACAGCTCATTCGACATTCAAGATTCCTTTGAAATTAAACGAGAGCTCGACGTGCGGTATCAGAAAGAACTCCCATATTCAGGAGTTGATCAAGCATGCAAGTTTAATTATTTGGGACGAAGCACCTATGGCCCATCGCCACGCATTCGAGGCAGTAGACAGAACACTGCGGGACATACTTGACAACGATACCGAGCCTTTTGGGGGGAAAGTGTTTGTACTTTCGGGAGATTTCCGCCAGATTCTCCCGGTCGTTAAGAATGGAGCACCCGTCGAGACAATTGACGCTTGCCTCAAGTCGTCTACACTGTGGCCCCAATTCCAGACGTTCCGTCTCACGGAAAACATGCGAGTGCGCACTGCTGATACTGCAGACACTGCTGAGGAAATGGCTGCGTTCTCCGAGTTTCTGCTGCAAGTCGGGAGGGAAGGCATGATGTAAACCCTTCCCTAGGAAGTGATTACATGAAGATCCCGCGCGATATGCTGATTGAGAATCCTCCTGTGCCAGAGGACGAGGAGCAGGAAATTCGTGCTAGCGTTATTCCAAGAGGCATGGATCGGATCATTGACGAGATGTATGGCGAAATGAATAACCCCGAGGTTGCTACCGACGAGTATTTCGCTAACCGAACGATCCTCACGACCACGAACGCAATCGTGCACCGCATCAATGAAGCGGTGACCGCTCGATTAACTGGACAGGCGCGGGAATACATGTCTTCCGACTCTGTACAAGACGACGGTGACGGCAATTTCTTCGAGCAGGAGGTACTCCACTCGATGAATATCAGTGGAATGCCTCCCCACAAATTGACCCTCAATGCAGCGGGGCTGCCGTAGCTTTAGCGTCAGAGGAAGACGTTCGACTCAAAGAGTCACTAATACTAAGTTCCTTATCCAAAGGACACTTACAGCCCAAGACCAGGGCTCAAAGTTAACACCTTAACTTTTATGCTTCAAAACCAGAAGTGTTTTATTTACTATTATTGCGGCCAAGCCGCCTAGGGGTAAATGTATCTCTTTAACTATCTAGCATAGTTAAACCTAATCAAATGCATAACGTGTGGCTTTCAGCCAACGTACTGAGATACCTTGTTAACTCTCCAACTTATGTACTGAGAGTTTGTTAACTCTCCGGGTACTTCGTACCCCTGTGTGCTCCACACCATGTAACCCCGTTACACTCAAGGTAGGAATGCCTATCATGATGATGCGGAACCTGAATCCAGATCTAGGGCTGTGCAACGGAACACGGCTTCGAATTGTGGCCCTCAAGCCACATGTCATCCACGCCACAATCATGACCGGTGAGCGACAAGGGCAACATGTGTTGATTCCCCGCATTGTTTTCATTAGCGACGGAGACATTCGGAGCTTTCCGTTTCATTTGAGACGCAAGCAGTTTCCTGTCCAACTGGCCTTTGCGATGACGATTAACAAGGCGCAAGGACAAACGGTGCAGTACTTGGGGCTGTATCTTGCTACGCCTTGCTTCTCCCACGGGCAGCTGTACGTTGCGATGTCGCGAGTTACTTCAAGATCAAGATTCAAGGCGCTGGTCGAGTACCCAAAGCTGGAGGAGGAGGATGGGGGTCTACGCCCAGAACATTGTCTACAGGCAGATCTTTGGTTCGGAGTAGGAATGTTCAATTTCATATGCATTTAATACATCACGTTTACATAAAACATGTTTACGCCGAAGCGCAGCAAAGGCGTGAGCCCATTTCCCCTGGGACTACAGCCTGCCACCTCCGCCGCGTAGCGGCGGCGAACGGCTAGTACACATAAAATTCAAGCCAAGTGTAAATACTATTTACACTTGCCTTTTCGAAGTACTTAGCATTTTACGGAAAATGATAAAAACGGTATGAAGAAAAATTACCGGTACATGTTTATTTGTTGTTGCCATGTCACACAAAGCATCTCGTAGCTGTCAACATGCCTCGTGGCGGCCGCGTGTCCAAGTCCGAGCTCCCGAATGGCAAACCGCCAGCGGATGAACCCGAGGGTGGCGATGTAGCCGAGTTCATGCGCCAGGAGGCCGCTTATCGTAAGGAGTTCGAGCCCGTAGCGCCTTGGAAGCGTGACAACATTCCAGACTTCGGCCCACCGCAAGACCGTCAGCACGTGTTCATCTTCGGCGTCGTGGGCGTCATCTGCACCATCCTGTACGAGACCACCGACTATTTCGACCAAATCCACCGATGGCTGGCCTACACGGCTATATGGTTTCCTCTATGGTTCCGTCTTCTTGGTCGCGTATCACCCGCGCCGACCGAAGACGAGCTGGACGCTCGGGAACGTCACGAGTTCGAGAAGGAACTACAGCATATCATCGACGAGAAAGACGAGGTTGATAACTAGATGTCTCGAGTTCAATGGGATGATAAAATGCAACGAAAAAATGCGTATAAAACACCTCAGTTGGTGTTCGTAGCTCTCACTTCTCTACAAAGTCAGCGCGCTCTGCTCGTCGCTCTACTTGCGGAACCAGCCGAAGAAGCCGCCGCCCGTCTCGTTGCTTGCAGCTGCAGCCTCGGCAGCCTTCTCCGCGTCTGTTTTAGTACGCTCCGTCAGGTCGGGGAACTCCAGTTCGTTGAACGCCACGTCAAACAGCAGCGGCTTGCACGGCACGGCACGGAACTCCGGCGGGAGCTTCACCAGCTCGCGGTGGCCCTCGATCGAGCCCGCCTCGAACTGATCCTGACGGTCCACTAGCGCACTAACTTGGCGTTTCTTACGCTTCTTGTCCTTCTTCTTGCCATTCTCTTCCGTAATGAACGAGAGCTGTTCCAGCTCGAGACGCACGGCGTCGGTACGTGTCGACGACTCCAGGAAACTCTGCGCCGTCGTGCGACTCACAGCACCGGCAAGTTCCTCGTGCAATTCACGTGTGAGCTCCTGCAACACGTCGTCCTTAGCTGCAGGCTGAGCAGTCAAGATCTCCCCCGCTTCAGTCAAGAAACCGGACGCGTACTGGTACAACGCCATGGCCTCTGCGAACTTCTTCTGATTCAGATATGTCTGCGCGACGGTAGACGCGCGACACGCACGGAAGACAGCGTGATAGGCACTGTACTGTGCAGCACGACGCTGTTCCAGTTCACGGATGCCAGGGATCGACAGGATATCGCCCACAGTCTGCACCAACATGTCTAGAATATGCGTCAACTCACCTGCCTGTTGCGCGGAGAATCGCTTCTTGAGGGTTCGATACACTGCAGCCTGACGTTCCACTTGCTTAGCCAGTTTCTTGAAGCGCGCGTACTCTTCCAGCGCAGCCAACAACTCCAGATCCGAGTGCACAAGCGCACTGCCACTCTTCGCCTGTTGTTCCAGCTTCGCCGTAGCGTTCTTCAGAGCTTGAAGCAGTGCATCGTACGCACTCAAGAGCTCTAAGAAACAATTTTCACGCGCTTTATCGTCCTGCGCAGCGTCCAGCTTGGCAGCGAGCTCCGTCGTGCGTACCAAGGCCATTCCCAGCTCTTGCGTCGGCACGGTAAGCTGCTGTTGCTTCCATTCCACAGATCCGAGGTTCGCCACCTTCTGTTTACGCGCCTCTAGCAGCACTAAGTCGATCTTGGACTGCAGCAGCGAGTTGTTGGCGCCATCGCCTAGCTCCAGTGACGACGTCTCGGCTGAGCTGGCCGTGCGTCCCTGGAGCGCCAGACGGTGCTCGCAGAAGCGAATAAACGGCAGCAGCTCGTCGGCTGAGCCAGAGAACAGCTCCTTCTGCGAAGACGTGCCCACCTGCGACAGATCCGCGTAGATGCGGCGCGCCGTGCCGAACTTCTCGAGCGCCGCGATGTGCTCCTCTCGGTGGAAGGCCAAGTTACCAGCCATGTAGGCGGCGTAGGCCTCGGCCTCGAGACTCGTACGCGCATCGGCGCGAGCCGCGCAGATCTCAGAGAGTCGCTGACTCCACTCGGCTGCCTTGCGCAGACGTCCATTCAAGTGGAACTTGATGCGCGAGTTGGCGTCCTCGCCGTTCTCAGACTTGTCCAAGATATCGTCCTCCTTGAGCTGCATTGCGTATCCCCACGCACGCTCAGCATTATACAATGGCAAGTATAGCAGACGATTCTCAGTGGCCGTCTCGACGTCCACCTTCTTGTGAAAACTGCTTGCCTTTGCCGTGCGTGAATTTGACAGACTTGCGGATGCGACGCAGGCGACGCGTGCAGTACTGGCGGTAGCGCTGAAAGTCGCGATGACGCAATCCGTTTTGCAGCTGCGCGGCCTTGACGGTCTCTAGAATGGGCACACTCAGCACCTCGGCGCTCGACGCGGGCGCGTCCTCCGCCTTGGCTCCCTTGGCCATCGTATCGTACGTGCTGGTATCAAAGTCTCCCCTCGCTAAATCGAGGAGAAAACATTAAATGTTTCGAAATGATTATTTCTCATTAGTGTATCAGCTATGTGGCGTAGCTGCTGGTAGCCACTCCATTACGAGAGCCGAAGAGATGCAGAACTGCTACTATCCGCTGCCTGTACAGCCGCAGTTGGCCGCCCCGAAGGACGACGATGCGCCCATGGAGCGGTTAGACAAGTCGCGCACCAGTTCCGACGAGATGCGCCGACCTTTTATGCAGTTGGGAGCCGTGAGCGGCGCTGCCGGATCGGCGTACGTGGAGCTTGGCCGCACCCGCGTGCTTTGTGCTGTTTACGGCCCGCGGACAGACACGCGCGCACGCCGTGAGTTCAGCAAGGACGGTCAATTAGTGTGTGACGTCAAATACGCGCCGTTTGCGGATAAATTGACGCGGCGTGAACGCGGACAGGACCCGGACGAGATGGAACTGTCAGCCATTGTGGAGGAGGCGCTGGCACCCGCTGTGATGCTGCACAAACTGCCCAAATGCATCATATCAGTGTTCGTGACGATTTTGGAGGACGATGGAGGTGTGCTCGCAGCTGCACTTAACTGCGCGTCCTTGGCACTGGCTGATGCCGCCGTGGAGATGTATGACGTGGTCACGGCGTCGAGCGCGGTGCGTTGCTGCAAACTTATTAGATCGGAGCATTGAACTGATGGATTATTTTGTGGCTATGATATTTACAGGGTATTGTGAACGGTTCGGTGGTGTTGGACCCAAGCAGGGAAGAGGAGCAACGCGGAGATGGCAAGCTCGCGCTGGCCTACATGCCGTCGATGGGACGTGTCACGTACATGCTACAGGCCGGCAAGATCCACCACACGCAGCTACAAGAGGCGGTGGATCTCTGCACAGACGCATGCACCGGCGTCATACGGTCGCTCCTAACTGCATCGCTCGTACAGGCGCTGTCCTGAACGTGCTAGATAGAAATGCAATCAATATCGTTTTATAGTGATGTAATGTGGTTTGTTTTAGGCAAGTACAGCAGGCGTTCGATTGCGTGCATCACTCCTCAATTACGCGACAACCTGCGTCTTTCGGTTCTTGAGCAGGTTCTTCATAAAGAACTCCCCAGCCTTGTAGCTGGAGCGCACCATAGGGCCACTCGCAACGTACAGGAAGCCCATCTGTTCAGCCACCTTCTGCCACTCAGCGAAGGCCTCGGGAGTCACGTACGACTTGACTGGCATGTGCTTAGTGCTGGGACGCAGGTATTGGCCGAAAGTCACGACGTCCACGCCACTATTACGCAGATCACGCAGCGTCTGGAACAAGTCCTCGTTGCGCTCGCCCACGCCAAGCATCAACGACGTCTTGGTCACGAGATGAGGAGCAGCCACCTTCGCCCGCTCAAGCACATGCAGCGACTGCTTGTAGTTGGCACGGTAGTCACGCACACGACGCTGCAGCCGCTCGACCGTCTCCATGTTGTGTGCAAAGACATCAAGTCCCGAAGTCGCCACCTGGTCGATGAGGTTGTCATGACCCTGGAAGTCGGGAGTCAGACACTCGATCAGGATCTCCGGGAGCTTCGCACGCAGCGTGCTCACGGTCTTGGCGAAGTGTCCAGCACCCAGATCCTCATAGTCGTCACGATCAACACTGGTAAAGACAATGTAGTCGAGTCCCCAAGCAGCGATGGCCTCCGCCACCTTGTTGGGCTCCTCAATGTCCAACGGCTTGGGCTTCCTGCTGGTCTTGACAGCACAGAAGCTGCAGCCACGCGTGCACGTGTCTCCCATGAGCATGATCGTTGCTGTAGCGATTCCGTCCTTACCACCGCCCCAGCATTCACCGATGTTAGGGCACTTGGCCTCCTCGCACACAGTGCTAAGACCCAGACTCTTGACGGACTTACGCAGTCGCTCGTAGTTAGCTCCCTGTGTAGGCTGCGCCTTTAGCCACTTCGGCTTGCGGTTAGACGCATTGGGTTTGCGCGAAGGTTTCGTGCCAGGCGCGGCGTCGGCTTCAAACGCAAAGTCCTCGAGCGACAGCGCCTGCTCGGCGAACGTCGGACCCTGACGCGTCTCCTCTGCGAGACGCTCACGCAGCGCCGCCAGACGCGCTCCACGCTCCGAGTGCGTCACCTGCACGGAGGCAGCAGCAGTGCTAAGACATCGGGCATTCTGGGCCACGCGCATGCAGCGCGTCAGCGTCGAGGCGTGCATGTCTCCTTCCTCTTTGTCTATTCCAGAGTGGCGTTTTCAGGTGCCATCATATAACGTTTTCAGATTGGTGGAAATTACGCAAATGTAATTTTCTGATTGGATGAATAAAGAAAGTCTCATCAAGTTTGATAGGAAGCGCTCTTTGCTCTGGACACCTCAGGTTTATCGACGATCATGATCCGAGGTGCTGCGCGCGGACTGTTCCAGAGCGCGCGACAAGTGCGACGAGCGGCTGCCAAGCAGAATCGAAAGCACAATAGAAAACAAACTGCAGGTGAACGTCCTGGAGAAACAAGGAGGACTGTGTGCGACTTGGCGCGGGAGGAAAGCGTCATCACCAACCAACAGAAGCAGACATTCGGTCGGACGCGATACACCGAAGCTGTGAGGAACTACATGTAGCAGCGTTCTGATGCTACTGAACTGCAACTCTGACGTTTATTTCGTATGTTGCATTGATCAGATGCCAAGAATATTGTCGGTGGGCGCCGTGGGGATGCTGGACATCGGAGCGATTGACGCTCTCAACATCCTGCTCCAAGACCTAGCCGAAGACGACGACGATGGACGATAACAGCGCTTCGCAGCGCGCACAAATAGCAGGATACATGTACCGTAACATCAACGCAATACAACAGCGTTGAATACACTTGAGTAGCAATAGCATAGACGAACAACTAGACACGTTTCTGCCAGAATTGAGTGTTATTCCACGAATTACTCGCCTATGGCATTGGAAGGCGTCTTGCTCATGTATAAACTACCTAGCGGGAGGTAGCTCTCTGCTCATTAATCTCCTAGAAAAGAGGAAACATCCAAGACAAAGAGCCCACACTCAACCGCTAGCTTACTCCAGCACCGGGAACTCGAACACAACGTCCTTGTTGGTCAGCTTCTTGTACACAGTGGCGAAGGTGTCAAGCTTGGTCTCGACGTTGACCTGGTCCTTGGGGTCCAGCTGCACCTTAAGGAGCTTCGAGCCGTCAAGGCGACAGCGGGTGCGCTTGCCGACGATCTCGGTGGGGAACACGAGGTCCTGTAACAGTCATAAATGACACAACAGTCGAAAGAACATGAGCATACGGCATGGGGTGGCTAGAACCCAGAGGCCATCATCGAATTTCGACAAAACGCAATGGGAAGACAACATCAAGATTCGCAGGGACAACGTACATCAAGGATCTGCTCCTGCACGTGGGTGAGCGTGCGCGAGCGAGGGCGGGGTCCGGCGCCGTGGTTGGCACGCGAGTAGCCCTTGCCCAGGATGGTACGCTGAGCGATGATCACAACGTGACGGCCCGAGAACTTCTTCTCCAGCTCGCGCACGAGGCGAGCCTGGATCTTCTTGAACGAAGCGTGCAGACGGAAGGGCACGAAGATGACGATCGCCTTGCGGCCGGACGAGATGTCCACCTGCTTGGCAGCGGTGATGTACAGGTCCTTGAGGTCGTTCTTGATCTCGGCAGCGGACTGCTCGAGGTTGGTGAGCTCCTGAGCAACCTGCAGCTCGAACTCGTCGGCGGTCTGGCCCTCCGGCTTGACAATCTTGGCGGACATGGTGGTAGAGTAGTCGGGGGTTCTTGAGCAAAACGTCGAATACTATGAGCCAAATTAAAGTGAGGAGCTCATGAACTGCTGGCCAGTCGATTATACCGGTAATAGGACTCAGATCTGAGGAAATTGTCATTGACCAAATCGTGGTTTTAACCAATGACGATGCAGAAACTTCCAGATTTTCTGAAAGCTACCTTTTCTTCGAGTTGTACTTGCCACCTGGATCCTTGAGAGTCGCTGCACCGCTAGAACTAGGAGTCGGTCTCACACGGCAACGCGTCCGACGTGGTGTTAACATAAGTGCGGCACCGCACCCCTGGAATTATCTTTTGGCTTCTAGCCTTTCCATGCCGTGTTGTGAGCTGCCAAGCTGGACGCGGCGGTGTCATCACGATGATCAAACGTTAAACCAAGCACTTCCGTCGAGTGCCGCTCCGCACAGTCGCTTCAACACGAAAAGCTGACGAGCTGGCAGGGCGTTACTTTTTTTGCGCTTGACTCGTGTAGCTAAGAACAGCGTGGGGTCATGTAGCTTCGAGCCAACAGGCAGGTCATAACTGCTTTTACTTTCTCGGTCACAACCACTCCAAACAACGACAATGGTTCTCCGCCACGCTCTACGAATTACTGATAGCAAGATAATGCAACGCTCGCTGCACACGAACGCAATGGACAAGCTTCGTCCGCTGTGGCAGAAGCGGTGGTCGATGCTCTCTACAGCTAGCTACACGAACGAAGGCTTGCAAGACGAGAGCGGAACCATTGAAGTCGCAAAGAGACAGCAAGCAGTGCGCAGTGACAACTATCAACTCGTGATCGTGGGCACTGGTTGGGCTGGGTACCAAATGTTTACAGAGTGCTCCAAACATCTTGCGGATATCGAGAAGAACGTAGGCGGCAAGAACGTGGACATCGTCATCGTCTCCATGCGGAACGTACGTTTCTAAAGCCTTGAAACACTTACTTCCTTTCACTTACATTGCACCTTCCTGTAGCATTTTCTGTACACACCCTTACTAGCAAGTACCACTGTGGGAACACTCGAGTTCCAGTCCATCACGGAGCCAATTCGCGACGGAATGCTCCGACACGAAGGTGATTTCCATCTCGCCAGTGTCAAGGAGATCGATCCCGAGAAGAAGGATCTGTTCGTCAAGTCTGCGCTGGGCTCTCGTCGAGAGTATCCTATCAAGTACGACACGTTGGTGCTGGCTTGTGGCTCCCGTCCACTGACCTACGGTGGAGGAGCACGCGTTCTTCCTTAAGGAGATCCACCACGCACAGAAAATCCGCAACCGGATTCTGGAAAACTTCGAAGTGGCTACACAACCTGGCGTCACACCTGAGGAGAAGGCACGTCTGCTGCATTTCGTCGTGGTGGGTGGAGGCCCCACGGGCATTGAGTTCTGTGCAGAGCTGTATGACTTAGTGCTTCAAGACCTCCGACACATGTACCCCGAAGTGTCCAAGTATCTCGGTGTAACTCTGTTAGACTCTGGTGAAATCCTAAGTGGCTTTGACAAGCAACTACGCGAGTCACGAAGCAGCATGCGGAATCCGCATCAGATCGAGTCACGAAGCAGCATGCGGAATCCGCATCAGATCGAGTCACGAAGCAGCATGCGGAATCCGCGTCACCGCTGACGGTGTGACGCTTCAAGATGGCGAGAAACTACGTGCGGGTCTTGTGGTCTGGACGGCTGGGGTAGGCCCCAACGCACTTACCAAGTCACTGACGGTGTTTGACAAGAGAAACGAGGCAACATCTTGACTAACCAGTACTGTCAAGTGCTAGGAGCTGTCGAGGTTGAGAAGGAGGCACCTTTTGGTATGCCTCGACGCTCGAACGTCTTTTCGATTGGAGATTGCGCCGAAATTCTCGACTATTCGTTGCCGGCGACAGCGCAAAAGGCTCAAACACAGGCTGACTACCTAATAGCATTGCTGCGTGGTAAGAACTCCACCCGTATATTTTCCGTAGCAAGGGAATGATGGCGTATCTGGGCTCGTACCAAGGTCTGTTTGAGGCGCGGCCTCGCGAAGATGGCAAGATCACTCTAACGGGGTGGCAGGCCTGGTTTCTGTGGCGCAGTGCGTATCTGACCAAGCTCGGCAGCTGGAGACTTCGATTGCAGGTGCCGCTGGATTGGCTTAAGGCATTGGTAGTAGGCAGAGATGTGTCTAGGTTCTGAGAGGTTTGGACAACGTAGTCTCAGTCAAAATGCATCATTTTCTTCCTTCCTCTTGAGAATTGCCTCACTACGTTTTGCAACCTACCGGATGCTGGTCCTCTGCTGCGTGTTCCCGGGCCTTGATCGCCCTGTGTGGGCTCTCAAGGGGAGAATCTCAACGTGCTCATCCATGAGCAACACAAGATGATTAAGGTGGCAGACGGGCTAAGAGCGCTCCTGCCCAAGATGTTCGCTGCGCACGACTTACGTCGTACTAGTATTTGGCAAGACGAGGTCCCCGAAATGCCTGGCTTGGGGATTCAAGTGTCGAGTGAACTCCTGAGCTGTAGGCAGATTCACCCGAATGTTCAGGCAATGATGAACGAGGACCAATCTTTTCGCTGGGGATCCAGCAATGTGTTTCTCAAACGCACAACCCTTCAGCTTTTGGTTATGGTCCAACCGAGCGAACAAAACTTCTTCTGTTCACTTTTATCGAGAAACCAGGCGCGAATAACCCCCTTAAGGACCGACAGTTTGGTTTTCAGGCCATTTTTTTTTTAATATTTTCCAGAATTTTTAAACGCATGCTTCCGCAACAATGAATACCAGCGTAAAGCGAAACAAAATAACTCGTTTCAATTTGTAATTACTACTACAGTAATCTTTCCAGTACTGAAATCCGTAAAGTTTTACTTGAGACCAAGCTGCACCTTGCAGTCTTGGCAGTACCATTTGCCTGCAGGTTGATCCGCAAGCCCCACACAGCCAAAGTGGAACCACTCGTACTTGCAGTCGTCGTTGTCACAACCAACCATCTGACCGAACGATACTCGTCGACAACTGCAATAAATAGGCTCGTTCGGGTCAATAGGCAGGTCTTCCGAGGCCAAGATCACCGGCTCAGCAGCTGCAACGGGCACAGCCACCGCCGTCTCTGCAATAGATCTCTTCCTCGACGAGCTACCACCACTCGACGCCTTACCAACCGGTGTGGCCGTCTTATCCTTCATACTGCCTGCACTTGTGCTGCTCTTACTGCGCACATTGACATTGGGCACTGTATGACTGACTTGGTGCACGCTGGTGGCTGCTGCCACCTTCTGTTTCTTGCGGTGAGGTCTACTGTCCTCCTGATACTCTCCATTCGCCTTTAATAGAGCCGAATAGCTCTCGAGATCTCGGTCCAAGCGACGAATATGGTGGTCTACGATGTCGTAGCTTTGAGCGGCAATGGCGATCTTCTCGTCCAGCTTCTGGACGACCAGAGCATGTTTCTCTTGCAGCTTCTGGACCATCTCGTCGGCTTCAATGAGCTCACGCAGCTCTTGCTCGGTAGCTTCACCTTGTGTCGCATCGGAGCACCGAGCGAGCACTTTTTGTCGCGCACTCGTTAAGTACGCTTTCTGCGACGTCTTGAGTTCCTCGAGCAGTGGGTAGGACGTCTGCAGAGCGAGCGTTAGAGAAGAATTTAGAGTGAAAGAGAGGGCGTGGGAGGTACATGCGCACCTTATCCAGCTCCCGCATGAGGTCGAAGTTGCGCTTGATCTCCGACGGAAGCAGGTACATGCTCTCGAGATAGTCCTCGACGTAGGTGCCCATGGTGCTTGTCTCCAAGTTTGTAAGGCGAAAAGCAACAAAACAAAGCGTACTTAACGGATTCGTATTTAAGGAGATAGAAATGGAAGAGCGCTTAGAAATAGCAATGTTTACTTGAGCTTTTGGTCTTATACTTTGGTATTTAATTTTTCTTTTAAGTATTTTTGAAAGCCGCGTGAAATTTTAAAAATCTCATTTTGTTCTAAAAAAAACCAGTATCCTAAAAGTAACAGAGGCGAAATCTTAATTCCAGACTTGATCAAAAGTGTTGGCGGGTGCAACTAATCAAACGTCTGGAGATGATCCAGATAATCGACTGATCTTGTGTTTGGAAGGGATACAGAACGAACCATTAAGGCTGGGTTTTGGAAAGGAGAAGACTCGTGCTGGATGAGAGGACCAATACCGCGTTTTGTAAAGTATGTGCGCGGCTCACGTAGTTATGTATCGGTGGGGGGTTAAAAAATCATTTAGTACACTACTGTGTTTTTAAGTTTAATTTAGTCGATATAGTAGAGCAGCTCGTCGTTCGGTAACCGTACGGGAATGGGTAATGAAGACAAAATGTTCGAGGATGGCTGGATTCCAGCCTGGGATGATCACACGTGGGTGTATGAGTGTCCACTTTCTTAGGATCTGATCATCGAACCACATTGCTTCGGGTTGGTGCTGTTGATTGGCTTCTAGAGAAACGCCGGAAGCGCGTAGGCATGTTTTTTCAACATCTTAAATGGAGGGGACGGTGCTTAGTGCTTAATGTGACGCTATGAAGCGTATGCGCCGCAAACTAAGGAAGGATATTCAAATTGGCGCGATACAGAAATCGACTATGGATATCAGGACAAGAAGGTCGATCCAAGGTAAGAATGGGACGACGAAAGGCGTGCAAGAAAGTCAACGACAGTGGACGCTAAATCGAAATCGACAGTGAGGCCAAGTAAGTCGACAAAGATGCTTCTGGATAAGAGCTGCGAAACGAATTATTGTGGCTTCACACGTAAGTTTTTTTATTTTTCAATAGGTTTCTTCCAGAAGGAGTTCAATGGGTCCGGATTTTTCTCGAGCAGTAAAATATAAAAAAGGATTTTCTTGTTTTGCGGTGATTTTTTTAGTAAGCATCAGAAGTTCTCACAACACGAAGCAGTAGCATTACCAATGCTCCACCACATAGCTTCATAGTAAGTGTCTCTGCTTGCTGTCAAGCGGCTATACTCAAATTAATGATAGGATTTTAGTGTCTGATTTTCCCTGAGGAGGTGCCCGTATCACGAGTGGATCCGGTAGTTGTGTTTGTATTGAGGTTGCAGCAGTCATCAAGCTGCCATCCAACGGGCTATTCATTGCACGGTGCCGTGGCGCGTTGTCAACGGACGGTTAGGGTATCAAGGGGTTCGGGATGATGAGCTGTATTAGGGTGGCGTACCAGGATCCAGTGGCAATTTCTCGAACGGTGTGTGGACGATCGGTCGCGGAAAGCAAGGTCGGTAAGGTTATTTTTGAGATGGTCAGTGATGCATTGGCTTGCAAATTAACGAGCCGAGGGGCTTTATATTGATCATGCTTGTTATCTACCTACCGACTACATACTTGTCCTAGAGTCCCGGACCAACTCGTAGTACAGCGTCTGCAGTCCAGCACCATTTTCGGGGCCGACTGGTGACACCTGCAGCAAGGCAGACTTCTACTTGATCATTACTAATCCAATTTTGATGTTCAAACCCTAGCTGTATTTGTCGCAGCCGTCCCTCAGTATCAGGATACATCTGTCACCATTAATTTGAATCACGGAGCGATACGCACTGCTTTTGTGTAGCTACACATTTCCACGCTTTTGCTGCCCCCTCTATCTTGAGGTGCGTTGGACAAGCAGTGGATCTAGCGTTGGAGTGTCCGTCAGCTGGTCTGCTTGTCCCACCAGCCCATCGATTGGCTCACTGAGCGTCTCCACACCTGAGCTGACAGGGAACGGGTAGCAAGAAAATATATCGACGAGATCACCTGTAATTAGCTATACTCGTGGGATAGTACATGACCGACCGTGGCAGCTCGGCCTTTTCTCTTACGACTTCTGTTAGCAAGCCGTTTCTTGACTTGTTTTTCACCAGGAATTGCCTTTCCTGTTTGACACAGGGCAGCAAGTACATGGACACGCATTTAGCATTTTATATTAATAGCTACAGCTGCGCTGAGTGTGCCCCAAGGGTTTTAAAAATTGTGTACCAACGGTTCGGGGCACCATCATTGGTCAGGCATGACTGCGTTCCACGCTTCATGAGCGAGGTATTCCAAGCGTTCGCTGATATGATGTAGTCAAGGTCAGGAGCAACTTTGAGCTATCGGCCGAATGCTAATGGTCAGCGAGAACGCTCGGTGAAGTCGGTGATGGAGTTCGTACGAGTGTATGCAGAGGATCCACTTCAGCCGTATTGGATTAAAAACGCTGAGAGGCTGGTATTGGCTATTAATACCTTCCATGATACTACAAGGAAGGAAACACCGTTCTACTCGGCTCACGGTTGGGATGCACAGTCGTCACTGTTGGCGATGTCATCATTCCTCAAACTACGACTCGGCATGCAGTCTGACGCACTGGCGTGGCGACATGAAAATAGCTGACAACACGAGATCGTCCTTACTATGGCGAAGAATTATCAGGCTGTGGTGAAGGAGTCACGGGCTAAGAAGTAAAACGATGCCTTGAGTCGACAAGAAAAAGCTGCTGTACCGGAACACTTGATGGACCCATTCGAAGCTTCAGCGAGGAAAAAGTACCCTGTAGGAGCACCACCGAGCTATCTTTTTGAGATTGGAAGCAGGGTGTGACTGTACATGTCAAACCAGTCCTTACGAAGAAACTAGTTCATCGAAAGCATGGACGTTTTCGCAGCAAGCGTAATGGACAGAGTTCGCGTATCAGCTGGGGCTGCCTGACCGGAGTGGATATCGCTTCTACCCTGTGGTGCATGTGTCAAGGCTCAAGGCTGTAAACGAATTCGACAGTCGACTGAAGATTCGCTTAGGTACCAGCTGCGACTGATGCGTCACGATTGAATTCGACGAAGAGTTATTGCCGGAAGACAGCTGGGAGCCAAATCAAGCTGCTGGCGAAAATGAAATCGAGGCCATCCTCGACGATCAAACGCTATTATCAGCGAGCAAGGAGTGAGCTGACTGCGAATTTTGGTCAAGTGGGTGGGCTACGAAGATACACTTTGAGATCCAGCATTCAGCTTGTTGTGTGGAGGCCATATGACTACCTGCGAGTCAAGAAGGGCTAGAACCGGCAGAACGTTTCCTCCATGTCCACCTTCACCCTCCAACCGGTTGATCAGCTGTCTCCATGCGATGCTTGTCACGCTTGCCATTTTGTTTTTCGTACTTGTGTCTGGTAGATGAGGTCGATGCGCCCCCACCCTCTGGTAGACTTAAGTTATGTGATTCTCCTTTGGGCCATCAAGTAGAAAATCCCACTTGTGTTTGTGCGGTTGAGTTACACTTAGTCGCCATATTTTGCCGATATCTGTAGCGATCTTGCATTTCTCGGTTTGGTTTCGATTCCGTAGCGAATATAAACGTGCCCCTTGACTGGTGACGACACATCAAGGTCAGCTGCTCAGTAAGCGCTACCAACTTAAGAAGTGTTTCCGTGAGTAGTTCCTCTTGATCGTGTTATTGAACCGCTCTACGGGGTTGGTTGTTGTCGCACATTCCATTGGTGTGCGATAGCATCCCCAGTTACAGAATGGAGAGTCCATCCGTTGTTTCTCAAAGTATACCGCGAAGATACCAAGTACTGGATACGCTTTCCATGCTGTCATAGCAGCGTCTTTCCGTGTGACGAACGCTGCCACATCACGTGAATAGTGTATTATATATAGGTTCTTGAGCACCAGCGATACTATTTCTACCTGAAAACTTGAGATACCGTCCCCCACTTTCTTGACGACGTGAAAAATGCACATCAAATATGTCAATGCATCGTTGCTATTGCTGCTCTGCTTGGGAGACGTAATATCCATAACAGTATTGTACTAAGCCTTATTTGCGTCGGCCATGTCGTATTGTGCCTTTCTGCCAAAACGCCCTCAGTTTTATGGTCCTACGTAGGAGGATGGCCCTTTTGGAAGACCTCCTATCTGATCGGGTGCATCCGACTAAAATTTAGCCTAACCCTTTGATGCAAAAAGACGATGTCAATCAAAGACATATTTGACCGGACCACGCGTGTTTTCTCAGGGAGGACCTAAACCAAGTCAATGACATACAACAAATTAACAAGGTAAGATGTAGCAGTCACAAAAATAATATTGTACAATACCTTCCATCCTTTGAAGTTACATCGACAAACATGATTTGATCTGGCCCGCTGAAGAAAGACAATAGCCTGTTCATATGCTTTTGCCTCGCCAGCGTATGTCTGATGAGTGGTCCATATTTGATAAAAAAAAACAATCTGTTGTGGATGCCTTACGTAAGGGTAAATGGCCGGCAAATATTGGCCATTCAGCCCTTAATTTGTTAAAAGGTACCCTTTAGACCAAATTGGAGCCCTTACGTAGGGCCTCCACAATCAAGTACTATTGGATCATAGTCGGCAAAATCAAAAAGTGTTATTGGTCAAATATCATTTTATTTAGTGGCCTGGCTTAGCAATTCAACTCCAGTTCGTCCTCAAATCCCACCTTTAGCCCTACCGACTCTTGCTTAGGACCAACCTTTAAAGGTCAGATTGGCCAAAACTTTGGAAAGGCACAATAACAAATATTGAGGTAGTCACCAGTGATCACTTTGAAAACGTCGATAGACTCTAAAGCGCTGTATTTATGAGACCCCCAGTTTGCCGGGATGTGGCAAACATTGCCACCGCGTGGAAGGAGCGCGCCGGGTCCGAAACGCCAATAACGAGATCAGGGTAGCTTCACTGGTCGAGCTTATAGGTCGTGTGAATATAAAGTGAATACGTTGCGTTGAGAAGCATTTTGATCGTGTACAGTGTAGACATTCCAATTATGGTCGGGTCTTCATCCACACCCTCT